TCCTGGCAGGCTGGTGTCTCAATTTCCTCTCAATTGAACTCTTTATTATAACAACTTTGCACGGACCACGCGGGAAGGCGTGTTTACAGCGCCGTTGCAAAGCAACGGAAGTTACTCGATTGTTACTTGCATATTCGTTACCGCGGGGATGTGTTTACCGAGCCTTTCCCAGAAATGGGCGTCTATTCTGACTTCTCTATTCCGGCTTTCGGGCGTCATGTTACAATATTTTATTTAATTAATAGCGTATTTGGAATCTACTCTCGATAATATGGAGTAATCAGTAAATTTGCTCTAAGTAGGCGTCTTGAGTAGAGACGCCATCCACTGACGATATTCTGACGGGTCCTGTAGAGGAATGGTGATGGTTTTAATCTTCGTCATCTGCGGATTGTGGCAGGTCAGACGGCCACTGTCTCCTCAGCCTTCTTTTTAACGTTTGGTGGGTTGCTTATTTCTACAACTAGTCTGTTATTGTGTTCGAGTGTACTTTGATGGTAGAGTGTTGACAATCTATGTATTTCTTCTGTGACGAAATGGGATTTGCAGATCACTGTGGATAGTAAAGTTGGAGACATACCAAGGCGCTTTAGTTACTGAGCGCAATAATTTGTATTGAAGTCTTCGAATTATTTTCGTGTTTGATGGTTTTGTACAGCCCCATTATAACTTGGATTTACGGGCCAAAAGCCGTAAAGTTTAAAATGAGCTTACTCTCTCTCTCTCTCTGATGGGAGGAAAACCATGCAGATTTTTAAGATTCCTGAGAAAAGAACACTTAGAAGACCAAGTGAGAGATGGAAGTATTATTGAGGAAGCAGGTTCCGGTAATGCGAATCGGATGCAACTGGCCCAGGACTGAGTTCCCCAAGCTTTGTTCTTATCCATGTTCAGCCTTCTGCCTCTGACATTGCGCGCGCCTGCACACTGGGTTATCGAATAAGGCTGTGTTACACCGTAAATGGAAAATCTATGTTTGTGTAATTCAGTTCTAAAATATCCCGCTTGATTCACTTCAGTGTGTGTACAGATGTGTTTCGACTTATGTGATAGTTATTTCCCCAAGAAACTTCGCAGTGGGTGATATAATTTTGCTCTTCTCCCCTTGCATTTCGCCGCATCAAACCCCAACAGTACACCTTACTCTCCCTTTTCCCTGTGTCTCGATTGGTCAGCAAGCAGTTCGCATTAAAGCGAGCGGGAAACATAAAAGTTGAAGATGTCCCTGTAACAGGCCATGGAGGCCCATAGTGTTACGAGACGTCGAGGCTCCCACATTTTCTAGACAATTGTCTCACAGATGGCGGTGAGGTTGTCAGCCTTACACGCCAGCCGCCCTTTAGCCCCATGAATATTTCTGGTACTCATTTCTGTTAGAAGTTGAGTCCACACTAGGGCCATAGTGTGGCTGGAAGGAAAAAAAATCCAATGACATCATCGGGAATCGAACCCGCGATTTTCAGGCTTGTAGTATAGTGCCTCAACCAACTACACTGTCGCGTAGCGAGCGGCAATAATTGAAATTGGACTAAATTCGCTGATCGCATGTGGCGAGCAGTAGCTGTACTTTGAATGCTGTTCACGCAGATCCAACACCGTTGCAACTAATAGTTTGATGATGGGTTTCGGTAGAGAAATTCCTTCCTATGTTCAAGAACTGGAATGTTGCCCCAGAAGTTGAAAAACGTGCCGAATGATCGCCGTTAATGTAAAGTGGCAAGGAGCTTGGCGTTATGAATGAATGTTTGTCTCCCTACTTACGCGAGATGCCGGGAAAACGTTACTCTCAAGGCCGTTTTCTTTTTTGTTCCCGACGCGCTCGAAGTATTACACTTCAAGTTCAAGGATCTGCCCCCTCTCCCTCAGTCCAAAGCCGTTATCCCGTTATTAGGACAGCGAAAGTGTTCACCTAACCGTTCTCTGCTTTTTGCATACCGTCTATTCCTTTCGTGAATCTCAGATCGCTTTATCCGAAGTAGACTGTATGCAATTACTTTCCTTTTGAAGCACAGTACTTCTAGATAGAATACTGTCATCTGGGATGTGGCATTGTGTAGTCGGGTGAAAGTTTAACGTTTTGGAGGCATTGCCTCCATCTTCAGGGTAAGAAACAAAGCCCTGATCGCTTATTTTTCAATCCTGAAGTGCGTTCGTCCGTAACGTCGCTAAATGTCTACTAGACTACATATGTTGCATCCAAAGCGGTTAACAGTCTTCATATCTACCGTTCAATTAGCTTTATGGAGCTGAGACCTTCTTGAGAAGCCGCCAGTTGTGCAGCTACTCAAGAACTTCTCAGCATTTTATGGAACCTGAAGGTTCCTTACCGTGTTCACAAGAGCCCTCCACTGGTCCCTATCCTGAGCCGGATCTATCCAATCCATACCATCCTATCCTCTCTAAGAACCATTTTAATATTATCCAGCCAACTATGTCTTAATCTTCTTAGTAGTCTCTTCACTTCTGGTTTTCCCAACCCAATATCCTATATGCATTCCTCTTTTCCCCCATTCGTGCTACATGCCTTGCCCATCTCATCCTCCTTGACTTCATCATTCTAATTATACTTGGAGAAGAGTACAAGTTATGAAGCTCCTCATTATGTAGTTTCCTCCAACCTCCTGTCACTTCATCTCTCTCCGATCCAAATATTCTCCTCAACACCCTGTTCTCAAACACGCTCAGTCTTTGTTCCTCCGTTAATGTCATAGACTAAGTGTTAGACACTACAGTTAGTTGTAACACAATCCTATTGTAACTATAACACTTCTAACTACGAACAACAAGAACGGTTTAAAGGTTACTGTAACTACACCACATAAAATGGAGACTTCACTTCTGACTGCTTATGACTTCTGTTTGTGTTCTGTGATATTCTGTTTCTGTTGGTCAGTTCTCTCCCTGAAGTAGGTTCTGGTCAAACTGTATGGAGGTCACATTCTTCAACAGTGGCGTTATCGCATCCTTCGTTGTAACTGTGCAGTGGAGGTTCATTGTCATGAATATGATCTTTCAATTAGTTAAAGTTAACATGTGTGTATCAAAACCCTAGTAACCGAAGTTCTATAGTTGCCTGTGTTACCTAGGAAATGTGTTTACTGAGCCGTTGCCTGGCTGTACATGTTACAGACTTTCAACCGCCTGCCACGGCGTTTTCAACTTTAATCCTGGGAACCAAGGTGCCCCAATCATTTTTTGTGGTCCTGTCGGCATGTACACACTGTACAGTATATCAGATGTGGCCAAACTGTAGCTTATGAGTCGCATGCCACTCTACTGAACCGTTATAAAGAATGAGTCCCTTTTTTATGAAAGGATATTTGATGCAAGGGAAGCAAGTAGCTCAATATGTATGCAATCGAACCCACATCTGCTTACCTCTGAAAATTATAACCTGCAAATCAGCTTGCCACCTGTTTCAGTTGGTGTCTCGCGTGACTTAACTCTTCAATGCCTGAAGACTGAGGCAATATTTGTCTCACAAATGTCAGACTCTCTCCGAACCACACAGTGTTACAACCCCAAATATTATATTGTCCAAGGAATGCTCTGTCTTTGTGGACCCATTGAATCCTACATACTTTTCCCTGTTTATAAAAAGCTGTCACTTGTCTCTATTCTGGGCCATATGAATCTGCCCATGTGATCACCCTTTGGTTCTCTGAGGTAGCTTCTAATATAAAACCTCGCATCTTCACCTAAGTCTCCTAGCAGTCTCTTCCGAAAAGTCTTCAGGCCAAAATTTTATTATATGCTTGTCTTTCCCATGCATGCTGCATGTCCCACACACCTCATCATTCCTTGATCTGTTCGCCATGATACAGGACAGTTCTGTCTTCTGGGATATACTGCCATGCAGTCCATCTAAAATCAAACAGGCAGCAGGCAAAGGTTTGCTTGGTGCCTGCTTATGCTAGTTTCTTGCTTGGCTTACTCTTCAACCCTGAAGATGGAGGCAAAATGTTCGTCTGAAACATTCATTGACTTTCAGCAGCCTATGCGGCGTTATATCCAAGCAGATGTAACTCTTCATGACTATTTCTGTGAGAACTTAGTATCTCTTAACCTTCCAGTTCCCGTAAATAGTATCTTGCTTTGCTGATATGGGGGCCATTTTCCTTCTATTTATCACAAATTAACCTCTCGAAATTAATTGCTCACATTAGCAGAAAATACGCCTGTTTCAATACCTTGGATAAGGTAGTAGGAGAAATCACAGACTCTCTGAGCTGTTCAGAGTGAAACTATACAAAAAAGTTCACTGATATAGACCATTGAAACAAACATTTTTAAAAAAGTTCAACTGTTAAGTGAATTTGCTGTCAACAGTTCCAGACTGTCATGAAGCGTGGGAGTTCATCTCTCTTTGATATCACAGGGTTCAGATACTTCAAGTTTTATCTCCATACCAGATTCAGGAGAAGTGAAGTGCTTGAATCGGTAAAGGAAAATAAGAATTTATAGGCATCATGTTTGAATTTAACAAAAGCTTGTTTAAATTAAGTGAGAAGTTCATGTCCGACAAATCAAAGAAAGAGAACGTATGGTAATTCCATTTATAAGAAATATCTCTGCCTCACCTCCACACCTTCAGAAGGTTGACAAGATGCAAACTTGGGTTACATAATTTTAATTAATAAAATATTCTCTCCTATATCATTTAGTGCTAAAGTCAAGAATGTATGGAGATGTACTTCCACATCCCCTCTACACTTTCAAAGTATGCAGCTTAGGCACAGTGACCCTCTTAATTAATGTCACATGCCAGAAGCGATGAAAATCCACAAGAAGTCTCAGTGACTTGTCAGATCCTGTGTAGGAGCGCACTACAAGCAGATTCATCACCATGAAATTGTCACTGTGAATATTCTAGAATGTGTACATATGTTTACATGTCTGCCTGCTGTTCTATATGATCAAACTACACGTAGAATCTATGTGTAATGCATGGATCTACTGTTTTGGAGAAGCAAAATATTGACTGATTGTTTTCATTGCAGTGGTGACTGGGGCTACTGATGGTATTGGGAAGGCGTATGCTGAAGCTGTATGTATTTCTTCTTCATTAACTGTTTACAATAAAATTCCACTAGGTCTCCTAAATTTATTTAATGAAAAGAAACTGGTTCAGGCATTTTATTTGTGAAAGATAACAGCTGTGAAATTATGAAAGTTCATTGTAAACACATACTGGATAAATTAGTTAACAAATTTATACTCGTATTTGACAGAAGTTCAGTGGTTATGCATGTTAATAATCATACTCAGTGGTTAGACCCAACATGACTTACTCAGTTATTGGAATCCAGTTTGTGAAATACAGTAAACCATGTGAAGGTGAGATTGTCATTGTGACGTGAGAGGCTTTTACTGTGCTGTATTCCTACATCATCCCCATCTATTGGACTTTATGTATTTTACTGATTTATAGAACAGATGTGCACAGCGCACATCTGAGTCATGAATTTGTTCACACTTTTTAAAATATTTTTTTAAATAAAAGGTAAAGCTATCCCTGTAATAGGCCGTGAAGGTCCAAAGGTTTGTGAGATGTTGAGGGTCCCACATTATCTAGACAATCAACTCATAGATGGCAGTGAGGTTGTCAGCCTTACATGCTAGCCACCCCTTACTCCCCCCAGGAAGATTCCTGGTACTCATTTCTGTTAGAGGCTGAGTTGACCCCAGGGCCAGTGTGCAGCTGGAAGAATTAGGTCAATTGAAAAATTCAGTCACCTCATAGGGATATGAACCTGTGACCTTCCAGCTTGTAATGTAGTGCCTGAACCAACTACATTACTGCGTGCCGCTTTGATTCAAATGCATAAATTAAAAACATACAAGTTTATTTTAACCTCATGGTCACTGAAAGTAGCTCTAATGATATGTGTTTTATCAAAATGTGTTCAGTTGAATTTCACATCATATTTCTAGAACATTTCTGAAATCCTACAGGCCACATTTGATTTGTTATTTTGAATTTCTTTAACATTTCATTTGCATCTTTTCCATGTTGCTGCTTCATCTATTCTTCTCAAACTCTTCCCATTGTTTTACATCATCCGTTATGTTTTCACTTACCGTGCTAAAATGAGATGCACTGTGCACATTCACTTGTAGTGGCACATCTCAGCTATCTGTGATGAGGTACAACAATAAGCCTTTTGCTATTTTCTTTTAACTGTCTGACAGGACATAATTCTTTCCATTTATACCCATCACAGTAACTTTCTGTTTCATGTCTGAATCTGAGATATGCCCTCATGGATATATAAATAGAAACAGAAAATCCATACATGAAGATAATGTTTCTGTTGTTATAAACCAATTTTTCATTCTATTGAAAACAATATTTGTATTCATTTTTCTGTTGAGTTAAATTGAACAGTTATGTATCTTGGTTTCAGCTGGCTAAGCTGGGGATTGATATCGTCTTGATTAGCCGAACAAAGGCAAAGCTCGAAGCTGTTGCTGCTGAAATTGGTATGAACAGCTGTTATTTAACAGCAATTGGTTATCAATCTAAATCCCATAGAAGAAATGTACTCATGCTAGCCACACTTGATTCATTGTCATCATCAAACTTACATTACTTTTACATTACATACTTACATTTTCTCCATGTCCAATAAGCCCTAAAAATTAAAATAAAAATGACAATCAAATTCATGAATAAAAAAATAACTGAAAAAATCAGAAATAACGACCAAAAGTGCATTAGTGAAAATTCACATGGAATAACACACCTGATCCAAACAACAGCTGACTGAAGATTGACACTGGTAGCTTGACAAGGGTGAAATGGGGGATGGTAAAAGTATATTGCCCATCTTCGGATCGAGAACATTAGGGTTATGAAGTTCTTGGAATTTTACTATAATAACTTTTTTTTTAAACTGTTATTGTTTTCATTGTTATTGTCCTTTTGTGAAAAATACAATTACACAGTAATTCTAAAATTTATGAGTCAGGATAGTGTAGTTGGTATGGCAACTGGCTACTGGCTCGATGTTGGAGGGGCTGGAGTTCCGAGTCCCTGTAGGGTCAAGAATTTTCTCTTCTCCATGTCATCCAGACTGGCTCTGGGGTCTACCCAGCCTCCTATCCAATGGGTACTGAGGGCTCTTTCCTCAGCGCAGAGCGGCCGGTGCGTGAAGGTGACCACTCACCTCCAACTAGTGCCGAAGTCAAGAAAATGTGGATCTATACATCCACTCCCCTGTACAACTTCATGATGTAGTGCTTAATTAGTTAAGCACAGGGACAACTTTACCTTTTACCTTCTACTTCTAAAATTTATATCCAAAATTTTTTTTATTAAACTTTTTTTCTTACTTCTTTTCAACCTCCCCCCACACTCCTATAGCACACCTGTGAACACTTTGCATCACGCCAGTGTGCCGCGACAGTTGAAGTAGAGTATGAACTTGGGTCATCTCAGAGGGATTAAAATACCTTATCTGTATTTACACAGTGGCACTGAAATGGTGGCCTATATATCAGACAAGAAAATGCTGGAAATTTAGAAAGGATTATATGCAAAAGACAGCATACATCAGTTACTCTTATACTGGAACATTTAAGTTTGAAAGAACTTAAATGAAATTAGCTGAAGATTTTTTCCAGCAGCTTACTTTGATATCAGCTATACCGAATCTTTGTTTCCTGCTACCAACTGGTTACTTTAGTTAGAACTTTTAAATCTGGCATTAAATATGGGGGGAAAATAGTTAAAATCAAGACTCAAGTAAGTTGATTGCAATATCCTAATATGTGGCTTAAAGTCTACAGGTAAGTAGTTACAATATTGCCTAGGACCATTGATCTTACATTTATGATTTTCCTATCATGTATCGACTGATGTTCTGTAATATATGAATTTCATTCTGTCATTATATGACAGTAATAAATTAATCGTTGAGGTTGCATTATACAGAGTGTCCCAGGAGGAAAGGTCAACATTCTGGGAAGTTATTGTATCACTCGTTATAAGCAAAAAACTATATATGTACATGTCCTATTCCAAACACTTTCCAAGATAGAGCTATTTCACTGAACAGTTCCAGAATTGTTAATAAGAAAGAGATATTACATACTGTTTCTAATACTGGTATATACTGTTCAAGTGAAAAGTTGGTACAGTTTACTTAGTGTAATACATTTTTGAAAATTCCGTTATCAGCATCAGTGCACTTCGCAACACACATGAGAATAGCATATCAGCACATAAGCATATTTGGCATTTGTGAAGATGTGCGGCATTTTTCACGACACTCCTACAATGTCACTATCAACAGTGACAACGACCAACTGATGCTTCACACATTATGGAAGGCAAGGACAATACTGGGCACCAATTCAAATGCTGTAGAGTGAAATAGCTTCATTTCAGAAAACATCCGGATTAGGATACATTTACATATACACTTTTATTTTTGCTTAGAATGAACAATATTGAACTTTCCTCCTGGGACACCTGTATAGGTGAATGCAACACAAGACAGAATGTGTTGTCATGCAACTCCATAATGCCATATGCTGATTCTTCACATTTTGTTCACAGAATCAAAACACCACGTCAGTACAAAAATCATTGAAACAGACTTCACTGATGATTCTTATGAAGCATACCATACCATAGAAAAGCAGCTCTATGGATTGGAAATTGGTGTCCTGATAAACAATGTTGGCATGACTTACCCTTACCCCGAGTACTTCCTGGAACTTCCAGATCGAGGTAAATTATATTCACAGATCATCAAGTGCAACATCTGTTCCGTGACCAGCATGACTGGAATCGTTTTACCCCAGATGGTTGAGCGAAAAAAGGGTGTGATAGTCAATGTTTCATCAGTTGCGGCTATTCTTCCAGCCCCTTTGCTGACAGTTTATGGTGCATCTAAGGTGAGTTCATATGTTGATAATTTTATGCAGGGGTGTGAGAACTTATCCCAAAAGTGGAGGGTAGCAATGCCACTGGGGGAGGTGGGTCACTATTAGAAATTTTTGAAAGGAGATTAGGCTTCAGGAAAATTAAAGAATAATCATAATAGAAGAAAGGAAAGATGTAGAAGTACATAAAGAAGTCACTTTGACTTCCTATATCATTGACATGTGCAGGACACTTTGTGAACTGTGGGTGATCAGATGGAATTAACTGAGCAAAATGTAAATGAACTTGGTGCTGGACTTCATTTGTATTATATTCCTTATACATCGTCTTGTTTAAGAAAAGATTCAGGGCATGCAAGGAAGCATTGTGAAATCTGAGTTGGAACTGTCACAACTGAAATTTAATATTGCAATTACTTGCAAGTGTATGTAACAGCAAAGGAATGATGTGGGCCAAAGAATGGGGCAAGGAGAAGTAACTTTGTATCATTGCAATTTGATAGAAAAACAGTTAACAGAGCACACATTTCATCATGAAATGTGAACTAAGTTTGAAAATGTTATCGTTTCTGTGCTTCTCTCTCCAAGTTTATTTGATATGATTTTACAGATTTGTACATATCTGTACATCATCCATATTATGTAACTGTATTTTTTATTTTCTTCTGTAACAATATGTCATACTACTTCATAACTGCGACTGCATAACTGAAAGTATGTAGATTTACTTGCTGTTTTGCCTGTTACCAGTTTTCTGCCCACTCTCCCCCAATTTAAAATTCCAGTTTTGGGAGTCATCAGTCCAAACTGCAACAGATGGATAAAATAAACATATATTCCTTCTGTGAAAATGAACAGCTTCTGACAATGTCTGTTGTTATAAAGGAAAAAGAAATTGTTCACAAATTATTTTATGAAATACTATTGAAAAAAAAATAAAGCTATCCCTGTAACAGGCTGTGAAGGCCCATAGGGTTGTGAGATGCCGAGGCTCCCACATTTTGTAGACAACTGGCTCACAGATGGCGGTGAGGTTGTCACCCTTACCTGCCAGTCGCCCTTTACCCCCAGGTTAATTCCTGGTATTCATTTCTGTTAAGAGGCTCATTCGACCCCAGGGCTATAATGAGGCTGGAAGGATTAGGTTAATTGAAAAATCCAATAATCTCATTGGGATTCAAACCCACAACCTTCTGGCTTCATGTTTTCAGCTCCAGTTTGTCACAAATAGCCTCCTTAATTTAGTACTGTGCTGTAGCTTTGAATCACTCTCTTTGTATGTATTTTGGTATTTTTTTCATGTACATTTAAGTTAAATTCTGAGGTTTACACATTTATAAATGACCATGAATCACAGAGAACTGTGGAAATTTGTTAGCTTTGATCAGATCCATTTCTTCTAGCAGCCCTTTAGAATTCCATTCAAAGATTCTGACTCCAGAATTTGTGTTGTTAGTTTTCTGTAGATTCCAAATTCCAACTTGTTTAGCTTTTTAATAGTAATATCTAAATAGTCAGTCTTGTTTTGCCTCTCATTTTAAATGGGGAACTTAATTTTATGATATACTGAGTTAGTTTCATTTAAGGTGTGCCCAATGTTCATATTTTGATGTCATCAACACCTGTAATCTACCTGCCCACCCACCCCCCCACCCCCCTCCCTGCCTATCTTNTCTTGGACAGCTGTCACCCTGTTGCAAGGCCGCCACCAACACCCAGAACAACATGAATACATAATAAACACATACAGACAGTTCATGCTTTAGACTGTGTGTCCACTGTGATTAACTGTTGTGTTGACTGAAATATGAAATAAATATTTGTATGTACACGATGCAACAGGATGCAACACGTAAAGACTGCATTATTATATTTTACAGATTTTCATTGAAAAGTTCTCGAAGGATCTTGCGTGTGAATATTCCAAACTTGGAATTGTCATCCAGTGTATTGTGCCAGGATATATTGCTACAAAAATGAGCAAGATCAAGCGTTCCACATGGATGGCACCATCACCTGATGTCTATGTCAAGAGTGCTCTTCGCACAATTGGAGTTCAGCAGTGTACCACTGGCTACTTCCCCCACACTCTGATGGTAAGGCATAGTGTGAGGAATTTCGTAACAAACTTCAGTGGCCTCAGAACATCTATTTATTGATGAAAATTGGAAAAATATTAATCAGGTCTTACAAAATATACCATTTCTGTATACTGGTATTCACATGAAACATTTCCTTAATATCTCTTAATCTGTAGAAATAAGTTGCAAAGGAAATATAACCTGCAGTCATTGTGGAAAGAACTATTTTTTTGGAGCTGAACATGAGCCAAAAAAAAATGATAAAATGGATTTCTGCACTTTTCAGCAGTTTTCATGTGATGTTAAGAGTTGACAGATTACCCATCACAACAGAACAAACATAACAAATAAAAGAACATCAGCAAACAGTGATTATGGCAGGCAAACTATAAGAAACAAGAACCTTAACAACTGAACGGCAGAAATAAAAGAAAAAAGAACAGTAATGGACAGAATTTGAAATTTTCCATAGAAAAATGCAGATTCTTACAAAATCTTTAAACAGACTAATATCATGGTCACACTCAGGGTAAATAATGCTATTTTAACAGTCTTTCTGCAATGACTTAGTTATGGCCACGTGATGAGAGTCACTTTTTAACTTAACTACATTCAGTCTTATCTGATATCAACACATCTGTGTTGAATATAGGGCCTATATTATAGGCTCTAGTTAACTTTAATGATGACAGAATGGTCAGCATCTTCCATAGTAGATGGAGTGTATCTGACAAAGGCCTTAATAACACAGCTCCAACCACACCAGGATACAAACTCAAAAAGATTAAAGCAACAATATTAACCCTTTAACATTCAGAAACTACACATTACATTTTTCTTTTGTTCCTTTTGTATAGAACCTCTGTGTTCAAAGAAACTTGCTGACTTTCTTAGATTGTGTTACCACTTTATGAAGAATGTAAAATTTGGACTCTTGGAATGATTTAAAATTTTACTAATACACTTAAATTGTTGGGATGCACAAAGCATAGTGATCACATAAGCCTACATCTTCCCTTAAGAAAGAAAATTAGGATGAAAATAAGGAGCCATTTGAACATGTCTGTAAATTCTAATTTGAATTAAGTAGCTCAAATCTGACAAGTCAGTCTGCATATACACATTCATAATTTTTATACTTTGAGAACACGGTGTTGAGCAGAATATTTGGACCGAAGAGGGATGAAGTGACTGGAGGTTGGAGAAAACTGCATAATGAGGAGCTTCATTACTTGTACTCTTCTCCAAGTATAATTAGAATGATCAAGTCAAGCAGGATGAAATGGGCAGGGCATATAGCATGAATGGGGGAGAAGAGGTTTGCATATAGAATATTGGTGGAAAAGCCAGAAGGGCCACTAGGAAGACCAAGATGTAGGTGGGTCGATAATATTAAAATGGATTTTAGAGAGATAGGGTGGGATGGTATGCACTTGACTGATCTGGCTCAGAATAGGGGCCAATGGAGGGCTCTTGTGAAAAAGATAATGAACCTTCAGGTTCCATAAAATGTTGGGATGTACTCGAGTAGCTGCACCATTGGTGGCTTCTCAAGAAGGGCTCAGTTCCATGAAGTTAGGCAGTAAGAAGTTTTGGAATATGTGTGCTTTATATTGCAGGTTGGAGCACTAAACTTAATGGACTGCTTTTCATCTTCATTTGGTGAGTGGGTAATTGTGCGCACTATGGAGAACATCCGAGGCAGAGCACTGAATGCACGTCAACAGTAATGCAGCATTAACAAACGTAAGTGGCCATATAGGAATTGAGGTTCTCACAGTGGTGGATATGAAGAATTCTGTCTTCTGGGACATACAGCGCTGTATAGTCAAGTGAAAGTCTGTTATGCTGTCTGCATTATTCTGGTTTTGTGTTCGGCTTATTCTTCAGCCCTGAAAGTGGAGTGCCATGTTCCTGCACACCATCACTTGAACACATGCTTTCCATCCTAGAGGACAGAACTCTTTCTAATGTCCAATTTCGATCAGATATCATCCAGTTCTTGTACCCTTGAACTAATGATGAAAATATCATATTTCTTACTTTAATTTAAAAATTATAAATTCTATAAATAGGCAGAGTTTATATTAGAAAATCATTCAAAATATTACTTTAAAACTTTCCATAACTTTGCAGTATTTATTTCACGGTTAATTTTGTTAATATAATTGCATGCCACAGTTTTCTTTTGAAGGAATAATTACTTTTAAGAATGGCAAGTTATATGATTGTATAAGGTTGATTTTCTTTTGAAATAGAAACAAAAAATAAAAGTCATCCTTGTCAAAGGAATTCTGATTTCAACAACAATGTATTTTCTATGCTGTTTCAGTAAACATATTTTATTTTGTTCTAACTGCAAAAATGTAAACATTAGCTTGGATCTTATTTTATGCAATAAGCTACATAAACAGAAAGACTTTATTTTTTTGTTGTGTTAATTCTGATGAGGCAGATTAAGTTTGTTACAAAGGGAAGTTATCACTTCAATTCATTCTAATGTATTACAAATCTTTATTAAGAGATTTAGTCCATGTATGAAATCTGAATAAGGCAGCTGTTCCAATTTTATTGAGTGTAACAGATTTGTTGTTTGTGAAGTGTTAATGTTGTTGCCATACTTAGTGCTAAGTTTGTTATGTTCTCATGCAAACTGAAGTCATAAAGTTAATGTGATATCTTGCTTAAACCAAACCCCACTCACTCATTTGTCTGTTAAACATTCTTTGTTATTTTAAATTATTTCAAATAAAATATTTGTTTCCATTCTGACTCATATATCCTCTAAAGTGTACACAATGATTACCCATTATGGTATGGAGGCATGTCCCCTTCCCACCAAAAGTTTTAAAAATATCCAATGGTCTTTCAGTTCATCCAGAGAAATGCCATGAGTACTATTGCTCACAAGTTTCCCACTCATGATTCAGTCATTTCTTATTCACCTCTATGAAACTTGTGTGCTCTTATCATCAGACTGGTCAGATATTTTAAAGTTACAACCCCCCCCCCTCCAAATAGTGTGATGAATCGATTTTATTAACAGTCATTAACTTAGCAGAAAATGTAAGACCTACAAGTCACAAGCAATCTTCCTTTCATTCTTGTATTAATATTTGGATATCAGTGACAAGCTGTTTGGCCAGGAACCCCTATTATTTTATTCACTGCTATATACATAACCTTTGCAGCTGATCAAATATATTTTCATGTGGATGTAGGGTTTGGATTGATAATTGGATTAACTGAGCAATTATAATTCCTAAGTACAAATAATTATAACACTTTCACTAGTTTACACCTTAACTTTATCATCCCAGGATTTTTGCCTCTGATATGCTGGGTTTCATCTGTCAGTAAAGTGACTGGATATGAAGCTGAACAAACTGGGTTCAATGATCATTATAGCAAATATTTTATGTTCCTCTCCACATTCCTACTTGAACTGTGACAAAAAAAGAAAACTAACAGGTACTGTGGGACCTTACCCACATTGGCTTACCATTTTCCTTCATCTGCTCTTGATGGCTAGGGCTGGTGAACCTTTACCTTCATGCCTCTACTCCCCCACACCCCTCCACTTAGGCTAATTTATTATATTTACCCTTAATAATTTCAGCTTTAGGGTGCAGACAGTGAATCCCCACATTATATAATTACATGCAATATGTTCTTAATTTCCCTCTCACGAGTTAAGAAATCTTCCATTCTATTTTGAAATGCCTCTGCTGTTCTCTGGAAGTAATGAGGTTTAGTATTCAAACAGTAATTTCACAACATTATCATTCACTGAATTTCAAAATCCTGAACAAATGGGCTACCCTGAAATGTAGGGGTACCTCTGTGAGTAGAAGCAGAATTATGCCCGTCTGTCAGCACTTTCAGAGAAAACCTCATGATCATTAAAAGTGACAAAGGTCACATTGGCACCAAGGGGAAACAGATTTGATGCCTTTATGATTCAAGAACAATTGCAAGTTGCACTTGCCCATATCACAAACAAGACTTCTGCAAATGCTTCTGACAATGGTGCGTTTGTTGGACATACCATATCGAGTTGCACAGGAACTACTTTGTAGAGGACAACACACAACAGACAGTGCATGCAATATTCACAGAGAAAAAATTATAATCCAGAAACTATCTCATCACACCAAATACTTGTAAAATGCATATGACTGTAGAATATAAGATACAAAGAAACTTCACAGTTTTGTTTATTACATTATAAATAGAAGTGCATTACTACTACTATTCACTATTACAAGTACTAAGAAACAACCATTTTTAATTTAATAATATAAAACCAATACTTAAACAAAGAAAGATAAAATCTTCATTCTTTAAATCATTTGGCAACTGAAGCTTCCTGTGCTTAGTACTGAATGCAGGTTGCTGTCATTCAGTTTATATGAATCCACTTCTGTGAATCACAACACATCTGACAGGTGCACAGCCATTAACTGGGCCAACAGAGGATGATGGAATTGACTGATAACTAATGATGCCCCTCTCATTTCTTCTGACGAGGAGCATTATCCAGTCCTCGGATATAATGCTTGGGAATGTGGTATTTTCCTGAGAAGAAACCAGAAAATAAATTCCATCAATACTTGATCACCAAAAAAAAAGTAACAATTTTATGTTATCAGGCATGTATACACTGCAGAATAGAGGCAACAATATTTCCCTGTCTCTCAATGTGTAGGGAATCTTTACTTGTTACAGAACAACAAACAGCCTACTGGCATATACAGCATGTCCAGTTTTCAAATTGCATATTTCTAGAATTTAATCCCCTTTCGAAACCATAAGACTAGAATAAAATACTATCACGTGCAAAGGGGTTTGCACGTAATTTATAAGACAGGTTCGGGATTGGATTATTGGATTTATATATATTCACAACTCAGGACTGCAGATAATACAGCACTAATGCTGATCCACACACTTTGCAGTTCATTACACACGCAGTAAGATTCTCATCCTCACTAAAACTTCAAATCACACATGAAGTCTTCTTGTCACAGTCTACTTCCTTTCTTGCCATTTCTTCTCAATCACCTTAGACTGCCATCTCCAGAACTTGACCCATTTCTTGACAACAACTCTTCTTCAACTGAAGTCAATTTCTGACAACTAACTGCTCCCTTGGAACTTCATGTTATATAGCCTTGGGGCGAGCCACACAGAAAACACAATCTTCTATTGTCCCATATTGTTTTAGGTGTGTTTACTGATCAATTGCATAGCAACAGATGTCCTGTTGTTGTGGGAATGTGTTTACCAAGCCGTTGCCCAGCAATGGGTCTATATGTCACAATATAAATGCCATACTTCTCAGCTTCTAAATTTGTTACCCTGAAGAAATCTCTTTCTCATACTGAAACATTATAAAATACATGCTTAAGCTTTATGCGAAAGACACAAACACAAGGAAAAATAACATGGTAAAGCACATAGTTTAAAAATATCATCTTGCACTTCAGTGACTCTTTAATGCAAAACCTGCATTTCTTTTTGAAAAGATGTGACTGAACAGTCAAAGGCTGCCACATGAAGCTCATTCACTCCCTTTGCATCATGTAAAACTGGAGTCTGGCTTGCAGCAGTGCATGCAAACTGATGAAATAACAGATTCCCAATGTAAGAAAAGGGGGCATAATTCTACTATCTTGAGTCATTCTGTTAGTTTGGTTCAGCAGCTGTAGCCAGTCAATCCCACCTTGCATTTCTTCCTGTAATGTCTTTCCCTTTCTCCCGATTTTAGATGTGGTACCCTCACATGCTTCCTCTGGACCAATCACTAACTTCTGTCCTCCTGGGACATGGCACTAGATACTTGTGGGTTCTCCAGACACTTTCTCCTTCACATATGTCTAGCATGAAAACATGTAAAATTCTCTTCTGGTTTGAGTGACACTGTGACATTGCCTACCACAGTTTTAACAACTCAAATTTTTGACTAAGTTGACTGGACATTTTTGGAGCTGGGGAGCTCTTTCACATGGCTGACTTATGGTTCCTGTGAGGTTATATTCATTATTATATTACATGCAGTAAAGTTAAGTTTTCTGTGTACATTTCTTGTATGCATGAATAGTGTGTGCCAAAGAAAGGTAATGGTTTACTGCACCCCCGCCAATTATACCTGCCCTATTCTGGACTGTTTCAATTTCTTGATGATGTCCGTGGTGAAGTATGGAATCCACTTCCCTTACTTTGACCTGTATTCTGTTCCAGTCCCACTTGTTATGAAATGATACATTCGGCTCAACATTCAACACAAACTCCAAGAAATAACACATCAATACCCAATCATGGAAGATCCCCTTTATACAATATGCTGTAATTCACACATCCACATACAGATAGTATTAATACTGACAAAACACACATAGTACACTAAAACAAAAGACCACTTGCTAGCTTGTGACCTACTACATAACCTGTGTTGATGCTTGATAGTCTGTTGCTATGGTAACTGCATAATGACTATGCTTACAAAACTTGGTGGAACTAGACATTCCACTAAACATATATCTATGACTTAATTTTTCTGAGGCAGCACCATAGCTCAAGCAATTAGTTGCTGGCTTCCCACCGCGGCGGCCCGGGTTCGATCCCTGGTCTGGTTAAGTGGGATTTGTGGACAAAGTGGTGCTGGGGCTGGTTTTCTCCAAGTACTTAGGTTTCCCCTGCCAATCTTCATTCCACCAAATTCTCCATCATCATAATCAGCCAGGGCAGGCTACAGTAGGTCAATCAGTGGCTGCCGTGCCGAGTGGACCAAGTTGGACTCCCCCCCCCCCACCNCCCCCCGCTAAGCGAATTTTAATTTTTCTCTGGCTGGTGAAATCGTTTAACAGTTTAACACTTCATTTCAGATGACATCAGAAATTCTCCCACACAGTGACCTGTTTTAATGCACAAAACCTGAGGTTAATGTTTCCATTTCTGCATGCAGCAGGCAGATCTGATTTTAACAATACCTATTAATAGATTTCCAACAAAGAGCACTTGATTTCCCTGCACCAAAAGCTGCTGGCTTTTCTTGCCTGGAACAGAGCTGATGCTTGTACTAGCTGCTACACCATGCTGGCATTCTCTTGCAAATTCCTGAATGTTGATACCATAAAGCTCCAAGTTGTTAATTAAAGTCACCTGCAGAATCCACTTCAATGTAAGAACATGAATAATTACAATAAACATTAGAAATTCTACTTAACCCTTAGCTAGGCATGTTGGTACATGCAATATATCACTTTTACTGGCTGTAATATGACAACACTACTTTATGCCTGACATCTATTGCTCTCCCAGTGTCCATTTTGCATTTTCTTGACTGTTGTCCAAGGAACATGTGATTGCTTTTAGTGCAGATGGACAATCACCCGGTAACACAATTGAAACAACAGATTTTTGGTGAACTCAATATGTCATATGCTTGTCATGTTAATAATTTAACCTTTTAAACTTATGGAGACGACAGTCTGCTACCAGTTCAGAAGGTGACAGTTCTGTAAATAATAAATATTTTATTTGAAGGGAATAAGTTTGCAAATGGCTGCAAAATCATTTCTGCACCAGCCCTAAACTAAAAATAAACAAATTATTAAAATCTTTCCTGGTCCAAAGCTTCCTTCAAGACAAATCAGAAATTAAATATCCATATTTTTCAAAATAATTCATATTATGATATTATATGATATTGTGAATCACTAAGCGTAAACAAGCAGCAGTTCAATTTTGAAGGAACCAACATGCAAATAGCATCAGGGGATGAAATTCTGGTTATCTTATAGGGACCAAGAAATGATCTCACACAAACCTTCTAGAACTGTGGAATTTGGATGGAACATGAATAAAAATATTTACAATGTGTAAGAGTTTCCAAAGAGGAGACTGAACTCGGGTAATGCTTCCTACCATTCAGTCCAGAAGCTTTTGTCTTTTGTTTAAAAACATAGAAATTAGAACATACAGAACTATAATTTTGCCTATGGTTCTGTATGGGTGTGAAATTTGGTCTCTGACATTAAGCAAGGAACATAGACTGAGGGTGTTGAGAATATCTTGACTGAAGAGAGATGAAGTGATGTGATATTTGAGAAAACTTCATAATGAGGAGCTTCATAACTTGTACTCTTTGCCAAATATAATTAGAATGATGGAAGTCAAGGAAGATGAAATTGGCAGGGCATGTAGCACAACTGGGGAGATGAGTAATGAATATAGGATACTGGTGGGAAAGCCAGAAGGAAAGGGGCCACCAGGAAGCCCAAGATGTAGGTGGGTGAACAATATTAAAATGGATCTTACAGAGATAGGATGGGATTGTATGGATTGGATTGATCTAGCTCAGGATAGGGACCAGTGGAGGGCTCGTGACATGGTAATGAACCTTTGGGTTCCATAAAATGCTGGGAAGTTCTTGAGTAGCTGCACAATTGGCAGCTTCTCAAGGAGGACTCAGCTCCATGAGTGAGTGATGTTTGACTACTCCAGTGTAACATAATATGATGTGATACATATTTTCATGTTACACATGTGTACTCACCTTCTTATTTCCCTTTCTCTTTCCAACCTGGATATCGACTGGGTCCAATTTTCCCTTATGAGCAACAGTCTTCTCGCCAGAAAAATACATCTGATAGGAATGACTCATTCGTCCCATGATCAGTCCCATCAGATCTTCCCATGAAACTGCTACAGTATTTGGATTTTGGACAGCTGCTTGAAGCACTGCATTCAGCCTCACCATGCTAGGAAACAGAAGTGTAAAGCAACTTGTAGCATACGCTAGTCTTTGAGCAACTGACAGAAACCACACATTAACAATTGGCCAAAGAAAATATTACAGGAATTATATTCTTCTGCATAACACATCACAGTTTAAGATATATTTGTCATCACATAAAGAAGATATGGGTACAAAAGTGAGTGTTACAGGTTTAACTGATGTTCTGGTAGAGACGAGCCAGTACACTACCGCTGCAAACAATGACTGGTGCACATGTGATGAGAACTGGGGCATTATTGTAAAATCTATGCAAAGAAAAGGGCAAGATATTTTGACATTTTCATGGCCACAAAGAGCAGATAAATGCCATATTCCCTTTGTTTACATTCTGTGGACAGTCCCAGCACCATCACTATATAGGAGTGCAGTGCACTACATATAGTCATGATGTTGCTGTTACAGATATTGTCTGCAAGAACTTTCTACAGTACATTAGAAATGAAAGGGGG